CGTATTCTAGGAACTCTACAACCAGCTGGATTAACAAACAGCTCCAGCTGAGAGCGTTGGGAAGGTTAGAGATGGTGTAACACTGTCTGAGTCACAAAGCAATATGTCTTTCTCGTGATTACAGAACAGAGTCAGAGCTCCTCTCTAAAGCACGTGCCTATACACAAAACCTACCTGTACAAAAGCTAGTTCAGTCAGAGGTTTGATTTCTACCCCCCTCGCATTTGTAAACTTGACAGGATTAAGGTAAATAAATAAATAAATAAATAAATAGATGTGGCCTTCCTAGAGTTTTTCCTCTAAAAGCGATTGCACTATGTAAAACACACTGTACTTTGCCCAGCGCGGGCATCTCTTGTGCTGCTGCAATGCTTTGTATACCTGGAGTGCAGTGCGCAGACTGGGCTCAGCACTCACCTTCTGACCTACAAGCTGTTGCTTAAACGGATGTATATTGAGAAAAGTTTTCTAATGTTGCAAGATTTCCATCAACTTCACTGCAATCTGTACTGTCCCAAGTATGTGAATGGTCTGACTGAAAGAAACCCCTCCTGCTTACCAAAAAAAGGTAAAATTAAATAAAAGCTGCATGACCTGTTCTTCGAAGTGACTGGTAGTGGTTTTTTTTTTTCTGTATTTTTGCAGTATTCCTGTTTTCTACACTCACAGCACAGCTCTGTGCTTGGCCCTGCACTGGCCTGGCCTGGCTTCCAGCCCCTGGCCCAACGACGCACCGGTGTTGTCCCGACAGGAGGAGCTGTGTGAATGTGTTCTTTAAACCAACAGCAGGGTTACAGATGCGTGAACATACTATATAAATACATCTATAATTATACTCCGTGTATGTATTAAATATAAATATACATGAAAGATGAGGCCACAGGATGGAAAAATGTATTTAAATAATATTCAGGAACTTAATATTTAAAAACTATTCCAGAGTTGGGGGGATGGTACCTGGCCAGCACTTTAGCTTATTAATTTAAATATTCCTCACCCCATCTAGCTCTTGTAGACTAACAAAATACAAAGTCCTTTGACTTCCAGAGACAAAAATGAAAACATTGGTATGTTCTCAGCGTCTCTCTCATAACAAATCCCAGCTGAAACCAAAACACAGCACTATTCTAGCCCCTAAAAAAGCCAGCTCTGTTCCAGCTACAAACCAGGACCACCAAACCAGCCACAATTAAATTTCCTTTTGTAAATGGTATTCTGAAATGAACAAAAAGGAAGAAAAAGTCAGCTATGCAGAGGAGAGTGAGGAAACACAAATAAAACCTCAGTCTGATTATGACCATGTGTGTCTAAAAATTTTTAGATTTTTCCTTACCTCTAGAGTACAGAATTATATAACCAAACTTTGAGAAACACAGCAGGATGTTCAAAAGTGAGAAAGTGCTGACTTCTGAGCAGGCACTGTTCCACGAAAACCAGCGAGGAAGGAAAGCACGTGACACAATGAGGTTGTGTAGGTTCAAATATTTATTGACAAAAACATCAATGCGGCAAATGGCAAAAACTGTAAAAATAACTTGGAAACTGAAAGTGTTGGTGCTTGCCTTGCTCCTTAAAAACAATTACAGTAGCTTAAAAATTAGTATGCCACTTTCCTCTGGTATTTGCCAGCAGGTGACAAAGACAGTGTTTACACTTCACAACTTTCTGAACGCCCTGTGATGAGTCAAGTCATCGGATTTTCCTCACTCAGAGGCTTCAGTTCCTCCTGCTGAGCTTGCAGAGCTGCCGTTCATGTACGTTTACATGCAGATACTTACAGAGGGATGACAGGAATTATTTATGGGACACCAACAGCAATAAATGTGGCCAGTTTAGCTAGCAGTACAGGCAACAAGGCTCCTGTGAATTTAAATTCTTAACGAGGTGCAGATGTGAACTAAAAGCTACGACACGCAGGAATACTTAAGTTTAAATTACAGAGTTTCTTCCTGGTGTAGCTGTAGACTGGGGACAGAGAACACTTAAGCAGCTGCTACTGCAGTGAAGAAGCTTCCTATTTTGCTGGTCTTCTTTGGTCACTCTTCTGTCCTTCCTGGGCACCATGCCCCTTATTTCTGCTTTCAAACTGATCGTATCTTGTAATGGTGGATACACCGTCCACAAACTTGGTCTTGTAGAGGACGTTTGCATTGTTAAACATTCCATCCTTCAAGGACACCACAATAAACTAAAAACAACCAGAAAGCTTTAATTAAATGCTGCCATCCAAATAAAGACTTTTAAACAACATTGGAAAAGACTTCTAAAAAGAGGAGTCCTTTTACTTTATTTGGCTGGTATCTTGGTGGCAATTCTTTAAAAAAAATACTCTAACTGTAACTGAAGCTCAACAGAGTGTGCTGGGCAGGATAACACACCCACAGGCCAGGCATTTTCTGCAGCTAACGATGCACGGCTGTGGCCGTATCCCAGCGCCTGGCCTGGGCTATAGGTCACAACACAGAACGCCCCTTTGTAGTGCACCCATCACTGGAAAAAATGCTGCCTCAAATTTTGTAGGAATGCAGGATCTTTCATAGTCTAAAGATACTGCTCAAATTATTTTACAATACTGGTAAAAAATGTTTCCCTCCTTTCTCTCGTAATTTGGAAAGGTCACATCCCACCACCAGAGAGGTACTGCCTTTCAGAGTAGTAAGTTTCTTCAGTTCTACAGATTGTTTTCATGCACAGGCCACAGTGATAGAGAGATTCTTTCCACTAGTGCCTGGCTTCCTTCAACAGGGTCAAAAATAAAATATTTTTAAAGCTCTGGTTAAAAAAAGTCTAGAGAGAAAAAAAAACAAACCGAAACAAAAACCTCAAGATATGGGTCATGCCTGGAAGTGATCATATCAGACATTCTTCCCTGTCACTATCTGGTCTTTATACACTGCAGCAACAGCTTACATTAAAAGGCAACGCTGAGAAGTTTCACAGTTGCCACATCATCAGTGTAAACTTCCAGTTGAGACAACTTAGAAATACAACACACATCTCTGGAATAAAATCCTTGAACAGCTGAGACTCCTCAGTGGCAGACTGCCTCTCAAAATAATGAAGTGCATAGGCAGGTGATGACAATAGTTTCAAGATCATACCTGGGAGTGTCTGAAATGAGTATGAAGCATCTGCCCAATATTTTGGGTGTGAGAGAGATCAAGGGCTGCATCCACTTCATCCAAGATGTAAATTGGGGCAGGTTTGAAGAGGAGCATGGATAAGATCAAGGACAAGGCCACCAATGATCTAATACAGAGAACAATAAAGTCATGTTTTACCCTCTTGTTTGAGAGGCTTTGACTTCCGAAACCAATTGTTTGGGAGTAACAAAACGTCCTCTCAAAAGCAGATTGATTCACACGGTGACTTCTGAAGAGACAGAATGACAGCTTCTGCCACAACTTCTGATTTCAACATGCGAAGCCTTCTTCCAGAAATAGCAAAGGTTACTGTTTTTAGTGGAAGATTAGGTTAGCTGGTGATGATATGAGAACAACCACCGTGGTGTTGCTTTACCTTTTTCCAATTCAGAGTTGTGCAGTGCTGTTTTTCAATGTACAGTTCTTAAAGCATTCTGTCCTTCAAAGTTCTATATGTCTGTCTCACCTCTTACTAAATTCTGTTTCTACTTTTCAATTTGTTAGATTTTTCCCTAGAAGTTGCAAAGAAGCACCCACCCTATACAGTAGCTGTAATCATTGGAGGAGAAAATCGTCACTGTGACACTACTTTGACACTGAGGCAGAACTCATCTGTGCAGGTTTTTAAGATGACAACACAAAAGGCTAGAGCATTTAATTCAACAGTAACTCGGTATTACCTAGCATTACATGCAGTTTTTTCACCACTCAATTACTTTTTTTGTCACTTTTCCATGGAGTAAAATTTTGTTTCTTATCCTACACCAAGTAGAGCATTGTTCTAAGCTGGATTCCTCTTTGAGCTGAACTAAATTAATAATGCTTTCAATATTTAGTCAGGTTGGAAGGAGACAGAGACCCTGACTTAACCAGGGAAAGTTGTTTGTTTTTTTTCTTTTCTAAGCTATAATTATCTAGACTTGTCAATTTCATATACAACTCCAATGGAAAACAATCAAAAAACCCACAAAGTTCACCAACCTTTGTCCTCCACTAAGTTCTGTTAAGTTTTCCTTCCAGGTGTTTCCTAAGGCAACTCTGAACTCCAGACCATCCAAGACATTCTGGTTTTTAGAAGGTACTAGCATAGCTTTGGCTCCTGGTAGAAGTGTTGAGAAAATGGAACCAAAGTCTTCATTCACCTAGGAGTCAGATCATAAAAGATGTATGTACATGCTTTCAATCAAGAGCACAAAGAGCTGAAAACTTAAGTGTAATCTGCACTGTGCTCTAGACATCTTGCCCAATTTAACCCAGTGACCTTCTGTGTCCTGAAGATTAGCAGGTGCAGGACAGTGACACTATATGAGCATCTGGAATCTTTTATTTTCTCTGTACTGAAAAGAGAAGCAACACCAAGGGAGGGATTTATATAGGACACCTTATACTAAACATTTTAGAAGGATCAAGTTAAAGAAATATTGGAAGGCTTCATTATGTTGTCAGCCAGGGAAATGGTTATGCCCACCTCAGATTTATTACCTGGTAAACTGTGATTACTCTCAATTAAAGGACTATGAAAAGTCCAAGCACCTTGTAAGAGACACTCACAGGCACCTTCCCCAGCTCCTTTTCTTCCCAGGTTTACTTAAACAGTGTCCAGGTGTTGGATGGGACACAACTTTGTACATGCAGATTAAAATTTCCTAGGTCAAGGAGTGCATCTGAGAATGTACCTATTCCACCACTCGTGATGCTTTTAAATACAATTCACTCATTTTTGACTAGCAAGGTTTTGTAACAAAAAAGGTACCATTTTGTCAGTGATACCTTGAGAATGGGCAGTAATAATTAAAACCAATACTTAATTTGTGAGCAATCTAATCTTTGAGATAATCAATCTTCTCAAAGACCAAAAGTACAACTTCTCCTGGTCCAGCAAAAGACGTGTCAAAACCTTTCCATGTAGGAAGGGAAAGGGAAAAACTTATACTTTTGTTATAGCTCATGATACGAGAGAACTACGAAGGTGGCAGAGTGCTTAGAAAACAGAAACAGAAATCAGTTGTTACTCTGTTCCAGTATTACCCATCTGATCAGTGACAGGAACAGCAGCCCAGGTCCCCAGCCTCACATTGTATGGGGCTACACAGAACCAAAAGATTTTAACTCTGGTCAAATACTGACTTAAGCAAACAAAAAGAAAAATAGACTCTGTCACTGTTCGTCCAGCTTCCATGTGACAGACAATCATTTCAGCAAGCCAGTAGCTTAACTTTCCTTAAATTTTTGTGGGCATTAAAAGAGAATGATAAAGTAGCTGTCCTGGCTGTGTCCCCTCCCAAGACCTTCCCCACCTCCGACCCATTGGAGGTGGTGGAATGTTGGAGAGCCAGCCTGGATGCTGTGGGATCACTGCTCAGCAGTAACCAAACCACTGGTGTGTTATCAACTCCTTTGTAGCTGCCAATACAAAACACAGCACGGAGAGGGGCTGTGGGGAAAATTAACTCCATCTCAGCCAGACCCAATACAGCAGATTTTCAGGTTTAACTGTACCTTTACAATTCTCAGAGAATTCATGTATTACTCTCAAAAGTGAGGTAAAATTAAAGAAGTTAAGTAGTTGTTTTGTAGTTGTTTTGTAATTTAAATACTAGGCAAAGGAGATCAGTTCTTAAAAGAGATTCTCCACCTCCGCTCCCCCCCCACCCCCGGCCATGGAAATATGCAAAATAGTAATCAAAGATAAATCTGATCCCTCTGCTAAGATGTGAAGATTAGATTTCAAGTGCCATACCTTTTTCCAAGCAATGTGTACAGTTTCAGCTTTCTTCCGGTCAAGCTCTTCAATAGTTGCAAGAATTTTTAACTTGTCATTCTCTACGATTCTTTTTTTCTTCATTAAGTCATTGTACTGGTAGAATGAGAAGAAAAGATTGATTTCCATGAACTTCATGCTCAAATACATTTTGTGCTAATCTTACAGTTCCACTGTTTATTGTTTTTGTAACCATGAAATAGCCGTTAACCACAAGATTGAAAATCCAGCGCATTCATTTAGCAGTATGCTAAATGGGTTTAAGCTTTAGGATATTATTTGCAAATTAAAGTATTAGCATTTTCAACAACTGGCAAAAGGGAAGACCAACATTACTCTGAAAGTTGCACTTCCTTTTTCAAGTTAATCAATCATATTTTATTTGCCTTTCCATGGAAGAAAGGATGCTTCTGGAGGCTGACAGGGAGAACAGGCCACTTCTAATTGTAAAACAGTGCTAGAAGAGTTGAAGTGTCAAGTCAGTGGACAGTTTTCAGGCAATCTTGGAATAGCCCCAAGATACAGTTTAATTCAAGACAACCCCGGAACACCTTGAAGCTATCCTGAAGATGATTATTTTTTTGATATGCAACCTGTGATAAAGTATGCAATTCTCAGATACAGTAATGGATAGGCCAAACCTTGAGTAATGCTGCTGCTGCCAATTTAGGATGGATTGGGGTAGGTAGGAACAAAATTATTCTTTTTGCCATTCAAAGTCAAGATTATGCAAAGCCCAGAAAACTAGTGCACAAGTGAATAGTTAAAAAAAAAAATCAAGATTAGTATAAAAGATCTGATAGAAGGTTTCCTTCTGTCTCATGAAGAATTAGTGCTATTTTTGGTGTATTCAGAAATACAGCATGTGAAAATATCAAGCTACGTTATATGTAACGCCATAAACCCAACCTGCCCAGCCCTTAAAGGTCAGAAATGCTTACCCTCTCCTCTGTCTCAGAAAGCATATTCATAGCTCTCATGTTCACATTCCTTCCCAACTTCTCTTTTGTCTGCTGCAATTTCTGCAGCTTCTGACTTGCTTCTTCAGGATTGTTAGCTTTGAAGTCATAGTCCGTGTTTGGCTGCCCAAAAAGTGGTTTTGCTGAAGCTATCCAGTCATACTGTTTCAGCATTTTGGTCACCTATAAACAAGAAAATATGCTGATGCTTTTTTTTTTTTTGGTTCCTTCTCAAATGTGAATGAAAAATCATTTAAAAAAAATAATAAAAATCAACATCCTGGAATTACTCTACATCACTAATTCTCTTATCCCAACACAGCACCACGAGTGTGTACCTTTACAATCCTTCATGTGATTTCCAAGGCTGTAAGTGAACCAAGATTTTAAGGGAGCTTTCACATACACCCATCACATTTACTTGGAACACTTTTTTCTATACCTGCACTAAGCCATTGTCACTTAAACACCGGGATTAGCTTCTTTAATTAGTTACCTAATTTGTCCCTTTAGTCAGAATGATCTTCTCATTGATCATCTTCTCACTGTGACCTACTCCTTATTAGTCCATACTGAAAAGCTCTGTTACAATTTACAGTTCCCACCCTCTCCTCCTGGGATAAAACTTTTCACATCAACAGCTGCAAACAGGGGAGTGCTTATTAAGAACAAAAGGCTATTTCCTTTCCATGTGGCAAGGGAAATAACCACTCTTGGTCACAAGATGCAAGGAAAAGCACAGTTCTGAAATACCTTGTCAGCAGCATCAGCAGATTCTTGTTGACACTTGCAGATGCTGTGTTCTAATGTTTTAACCTTAAGTTGTATGTCATTATTTTGTTCTTTGTATTTTGCCATCTCTGAAGATTTGGCTTTAATTGCTTTATTATGTAACATAATTACTTCCTTCTGTTTGGCCAGCTCCTTCTGTGATTTGTCTACAGATTCCTGAAAAGCAAATCAAACAGCCATTTACTAGCATCCTTTAAAGTCTGGTCTTAGACTGTTGTTAGAAGAAAAGGACACAGCAAGTAAAGAGAAAAAAAACACATGTAGTAACAAAGCCAAAAAATAACTACTTAAACATAATTCAGTGCTGGCAAAAAAAATCCAAACAACAAAATACACAATATAATTTGAGCTTTAGGGGATCTTATCTTCAGTAACATGAACACAGATAATGAAGCACAGTATTCACTTTTACCTTTGCCTTAGATGCCTCAGCTGCCACAGTATCAACTTGTTCCTGGTAGGACTTGATTGCTTTATCTACAGCTGCTATCTGCTGTTCATAGGAGGTCTCTTCTTGTTTTAGCTCTTTAAGTTCCAGAAGTAAAGCTTCGACTTCCTAGAGAGATGTTTTCAAATTTATTACAGTTATACTTAAATTGAAAGAATTAAGATTCACTTTGACGTAGTAAATGCTGTAGAAAATTAACAGTACTCACTGTCCAGGAAGGTGGCAATCTCACAAAACCACAAAACTAAAAAACATCATCAATTTCTATGTCAGTGATTACAGAGTAAGTTCTAGAACTGACAGTGTTAAAACTTCAGGAGAATCAAACTTTCTGATTACTGCAACCACTTTTGACACTGAGAAAATTGCCAACAAAGGTTAAGTTTTACCTGCTGCTTTTCCTTCATTTTTTTGCTTGAAGCATCTGCCTTTTTCTTGGCAACATCTAGGTTCTGCTGGGCAATCTTTAGTTCTTTCTCACTTTCTGCTGATGCGTTTTTCATTTTATTCTCTAACATCTTGTATTTATCTTCTGCTTTCTTTTGTCTCTCTTCAGTTTTCTTTAATGTCTCTTCACACTCCGCTGAATCAAGAAGTACAGGACTGAGATTGGACTTGTTCTTATCTTCAAATTTACAACCTGAACTCCAACTGAAATAAATTTGTCTTTGCCTCTAACAGGAAAAGTGGCTGTATGTTGGCTAGTTACTGAAGACAGCTACTTCAGTTACACTGGGACAGTGTGCTGTTGTTACCAGGTATTGGTAGGATACCAAGTAGACAACCAGTCGTTAAAATTAATGACAGTAAGCCTTTTTTTCTTTTTTCCCATTTTTTTTTCAGACAACGGTAAGTATATGCCAAATTATACAACCAAGAAGTAAATAATCAGATGGCTACCTAATAAGATAGAAGCTCATCCCTAGAATATTTTATCTACATATGTGTCACTTCTACACATGTTATTTCTTTGGATGTTTTACTTATTGCTGCATTTGATTCCCTTTACATTTTTCCTCATCTATATGAACAGTACTTCTTTCCAATGCCTTCTTGTTACCCTAGCTATTTATATTGCTAACCATAACTATCTACAGAAACAGATGGCTAGGAAAAAACAAAGATTACTCAAATATGGGATTAAATCCACTTTAAAACTTCCCTGCAAAACCATTTTTCCGTTTATCAAAAAGTATATAAAACACTTAAGAAATAACCCTTACTACGAGAGAACGACCAACCCTATGCATATCACTTCTATGCAAATCTATTGTAATTCTGTATTTGTTACATATTCCAAAGCATAAAGCTGGTACTTTCAAAGCTAAAAATGTTTTTTCTTAAGCAAAGATTCTGCTATGCAAACAGACAAATATTTGTCTCATTCTCAGCAATTAGTCTGCAGTTAAAAGAATAAGAACGTATTTGTCACCAATGGTTTCCTTCAGGGCAAGCAGCTCTTCCTGTTGTTTGTGATAAGCACTTTGCTGAAGCTTCATTTGCAACAGCTCTGCTTTCTCAGACTGCATCTCCCACTGCTGCTTCAGTTGCCAGTACCTTTGAAGACAATGATACACACTGCTATAAGGAAGGGTACCCAGCACGTCAGTTTCAAAGTTGAAATAAGTAAATATAGAAATGAGCAGATGGGAGAAATACCTATATTCCCATTCTAACCTCAGATACAGTGATGACTGTAGGACAAATAAGCTTAAATGCATGGAAGTCTGATACAATTTCTTTAATAGCAACTGTGAAATTTGTAGGTAAGAATGTAAGTTGTTATATATGCAACTCCTGGTTACGAAGCCCCAGTAAGACATACTGAAAACTAAGAAATGCAGCACGTGGAATTTGGCAACAATTCAGAGCTCGTGCTTTTCCAACCATCATCGTGACAGACACTAGGCTGAAGCATTGAAGAAAAAATATCTAAAAGCAAAACTCATTTTCTTCCTTTTGGTCCTGTTTCTGGAAGTCTATTACAACTCAAAACAATTTGAAAAATAAATCCAGATGGCAGATAGCATTACACAACACTACATCCTTATGGGATTTTTACACAAAATTAAACATATTTTTATATTCCATCTTGTAAAAAGACCTTCAGCAACTGAGTAGCTGAAAATAAAATATACTTAAAATTATTTAATTTAAATCCTTACAGCAGTATCACTCAAATATGTCCCTTTATCTTTATATTTTCTTGTGAGAAAATAAGAGCTACCACAAACATGAAATTCTGTGTAAATGTTACAAAATAGGACTGGAACAGATCCATTCTTCAGTGGACATCATGAAACTTTGGAAAAATTCAAGTGATTTCAAGTAGACATCACTGTATGCCATTTTTTTCCTGTATTACCCAAAATAAAGTTTTCTTGCATGTGTTACCTAAAGACTAAATTTACTTGTTAATTTCTGTACTTATAAATTAAACTGGGGGGAGGGAGAGGGAGAAAGGGAATAATTTTCTGCTTATTACATTCTCAACTGGCCCTATGGTATCCAAAAATACTTCTTCTTATTACGTTTATTCAGTCACATAAGAATAAAAATAGACATTTTATAGGGCAAACCTTACTTTTCAGTAACATTCTTCAACTTTGCCAGCTCATTCTCTACAGTTGCAAGTTCGGATTCCTTTGCCTTGAGTTCTACTTCAATGTCTTTAATTTCTTGAAGTTTAGACAATATTGGTGCAGCCTGTGAGCACGCACCTGTTTAGCGGAGGAAAAAAAAATGCAGTCAAGCTGATTGGAATTAGACTGGTGGATTCACCACTAGCAAATAGCAAATTTTAAGTGTTAGTAATGATGCAGGTTGATCATTTGTTTTAGTTACAAAACAGAAAGGCAGTTAGGCTGAAGTTACAGGAGTTATTAGTGGATAGAGACCACTTCCTTTGTTATAAATTCACTCCTACAGACTTTGAATACTACACATGCATTTCTTGTCAAATCAAGTAACTTTTCATAATTCATGAAATTACCACAAATTAACTACGAATTACTTCAAAAAGTGCTTGAATTCAAAGGATTTCTCCTCCCAAGAGGATAATATAGCCACACAAGATTTAAGCATTTAAAATCTAAACTATTTCATTCAAATAGTTTGCCATTAATTTCTCCTTAGCCTAATCAATCTTATTTCAGCTCAAGACTGACAAATCTTTGCTCAAACAGATACTACCCCCAATATGAGTCTAAACAAAAAAAGTTACTGTTCATTTTTGTTAAAAACATGCGGAGCAGTGAAGAAATCAACAGACAGATAGTATTATTATATTAATAAAACCAGCAATTGCCTCCATGCAGAGTGCCCTGGGGGTCAAATGTATCTCCATCCAGTGTAACACTTTTTGTCATTATCCTTTTATCAAAGGTCACTTTCTTAGCATTATCCATGTTATTACAGATCAGTGCTGTTCCAAAGACATATTCCATTGCTTTCTGCAGTTCAGATTCATATCCAACTAGAGAAAGGGCTAAATGCAAGTTATCACGACCCACCTAGAAATCAAATGAAATGTAATTAGTATGCCTTAAGCAATAAGAATTTTCAAATTTCATTTCTGTCTTCTCTTGAAAAAAAAAAACCAAACCACTTTCTAAAAACATCCTTACATTTTAAAACAATTTCAGTTAAAAGTGGAATAATTAATAACCATTTAAACATTGCACAGCTGAAACGATACAAAGGAAAAAATAAAATCAAGACACCCTCAAACCCTATATAAATTCTTATTAGTATAACCATTAACAAGCCTGTGCTTTTAGCAAAGAAACAAAATGAAAAAGGTACACAAGCAAAACAGTGCAAATAGTGTATTTATTACATACCAAATTCTGGGCCAACTTGACCACGTCTTGTCCAACACACCTGGCTGAAATTTTGTTCAGTGGAATGATGGTGTATCGACGCCTCAGTTCACCCTTTTCTAAGAGCTTTTTGCCAGTAACCTCAAATGAGGAGAGTTACAAAACATACCTGAATACATAACTGATTTTGTAAAGTAAGACAATAGGGCACTGCAAGATTAACATATCGTTGCAAGCAGCTCTGCATTACTCTCTTGACCTAATTTAAACACGTAAATGGGTCCACACCACTCTCTTAAGCATTCTGTAACAATGAATGCGCTTGCTAACCCCGAATCACACGACCCCACCTCAATATTCAGAGTTCTGTATTATAGTAATGAACATACCTCTGTGTCCACAATAATGTTATAGAGTTTCCCTCCAGCCACTGCTTCTAAGGCTTTTGCTTTAGATAAATCTTTCACAGTGATAAGAGACACAACAGGGCCTTTCACACGGTTTGGATTCCAATTTTTTTCTGGATCTCTTAAAATAAATTTAAATTGTGAAAATCACATGTTTGTTTCTCTCACACACATCTTTAAAAATTTATATTTAAAAACTCACACTGCTTATTGTATTGGTATAAGAAGTTCTAAATTCTATCAGGAAAAAACCCACAGAAAATGGTTAAATTAAATACTTCAAGGTAAGAGAATTCCCAATAGAAAGTCATTAGAAGAATGTCCTTCCAGATTTTGGTAAAATTTGTTCACACAATTTTCAATTGATTTTTACTATGGGTGCCATTATTAGCACACCTATAGAAATAGGTTCAGACCGATTATCACATAAGCAAATAAATCTGGGGAAACATATATTTGATTGGTGGAGACAGATACAATGTTGATTTCCACAGAGCAAGTCTACTCGCAGTCCTCAGGCAGGACTCTGAAAAGTAATTATCACATATTTTTGCAGTTTAGACCTTTGCACTCTCTGGTTTTAGCTACTGAAGTTGAGTTATGGCTTGCAAACACCATCACACGAAACTTAAATTCCACTGATTTTGATAAGGCTACCGTTTAAGAATGATTGTATCACTTCCCCTGCTGCCCATTAATTCAGTTAACATCTCCCGACTTCCTCCCCCTTTGCATTGCAGGTAAGACAGGTGTTATTCACTGGCACTAAAAGGAAAGTAACAGCTAAGCAAATGATGGAATTATCCTCAAAGTCCCATAAGACACACATAATATGCCCCAAAAAGCATTTTCCAATGTCTTTTAGGATCACACTGAGATCTTACTTGTATTCAAACTGTAGATGGGGAAACTTGGCTGTTAAGCCTTCATACGATTCTCTCAGTTTGCTGATGTCATTAGTCAATGTCTTCTTTTTTGCTAGAAGGGCTTCTTTCTCTTCTTAAGAGTTGAACACAAACAGCAGATAAACATCCAGAGCACAGAAATCTATTAGCTTAAAAACTGGTACACTGTACTGTTTATATACATATATGTAGAGAATACTTAATTAAAAGACTTTCTAAAATTATTTGTAAATTTCCAGTTTAGGCAAATTAACACCATCACAATACCAAACATGCAAAGAAAGGATTTAAAGTCTAATGTGCTTCTCTGAATGGCATTCTGGAATATCAATTTACAGTTTTGAGGAGCTTCTGTAACAAATATTACCTGGAATGAGAGATGAACTTTCAGAAGTGTCTGAGGTAGGGAAAACCAGGAAGGAATAGGGAGTTGGACACTTTTTCCACCTAAATTTTAGATGGAATTTGAATTTCCCACCAAACTTTAAAAGATTTGGCCTAAAGTTTATAAAATCAAGTTATTTTAAAACTATTTTCTGTGGAAGAGAAGAGCTTGCAGACCTTTGACCAGAGAAATTTATTTGTGCATGAAAGCAGCTGTGGTAATTTAACTTGGCTGGCAGCCAAGCACCACACAGCTGGTCACTCACTCTTCCTCCCTGCAGGGAACAGGGGAGAGAATTGGAGGGGTAAAGGTAAGGAAACTCAGAGGTTGAGATAAGAACAATTTAATAAATAAAATAAAACTTAAAATACTAATGATAATAATGGTAATAATAGAATATACAAATGAGTGATGCACAGTGCAATTGCTCACCATCCACTGACCAAGCCCAGCCCCTTCCTGGATAATGATCCTGGAGGACCAACAATTCCAAAACCAAAACCACGATCCCAGAAGAGCGAGAGCCTAAGCATTCCAGTCAGCCTTCGTTAATATACTGAACAGGATGTTACATGATATGGAATATCCCACTGGCAGATACAAATGCCAATTTGGGTTTCCTAATTTTCCAATGCACCCCCCTCCTATGCACCTGCACATTAGCAAAACACAGGGACCTTGGAAAGTCCTTGATCTTCCAATAACAGTTAAAAGCATTGGTATGTTATCAACGCTCTTCTCATACCAAATCCCATGCTGAAACCAAAATGCAGTGCTATTCTATCTACTAAGAAGAAAATTAGCTCTGTCCTAGCTGAAAACCAGAAGAGCAGCATATTTGGTTCAGTTCCTTCTTGTCCTGGCTCTGGCTGGGATGGAGTTAATGTTTCCCACAGCAGCCCTCAGTGCTGTGCTTTGTTTTTCTAGTAGTTGACAACACACCAGTGTTTTGGCCACTGTCAGTGCTCCCACAGCACCAAGGCTTTTGCTCTAAAGGGCAGTAGAGTGCAGGTGGGCAAGAGGTTAGAAGGGGACACAGCCAGGCCAGCTGACCCCAGGAATATTCCACACCATATGAGGGCGTGCTCAGCCACAAAGCTAAGAGAAAGGAGTAGGGGTGGGAGCATTCATAATTAAGGTGTTTGCCTCCCAGACCAGCTGCTACACGTACTGAGACCCTACTTCCTGGGCAGTGACTGGATATCACCTGCTGATGTGAAGCAGAGAGTAAATCTTTTTGTTTTCCTTTGCCTGTGTCTAACAGAGACAGTTCCAGCCAGCTCCAAGACAGACCTGCTGCTGGCCAAAGCTGAGCCCACCAGCAACGCTGGTAGCACCTCTCTGATAACATTTGTAGAAGGAGTAAAAACTGCTGCACAACAGCAGTTAGAGAGAAGAGAAGATGTGAGAGAAACAATCTGTGCAGACACCAAGGTCAGTGAAGAAGGAAGGGGAGGAGGTGCCCCAGGCACCGGAGCAGAGATTCCCCTGCAGCCTGTGGTGAAGACCATGGTGAGGCAGGCTGTCCCCCTGCAGCCCATGGAGGTCCATGGTGGAGCAGATGTCCACCTGTAGCCCGTGGAGGACCCCACACCAGAGCGGGTGGATGCCTGAAGGAGGCTGTGACCCCATGGGAAGCCCAAGCTGGAGCAGGTTCCTGTCAGGACCTGTGGCCCCGTGGAGAGAGGAGCCCACACTGGAGCAGGTTTGCTGGCAGGACTTGTGACCCTGTGGGGGACCCGCGCTGGAGCAATCTGTCCCTGAAGGACTGCACACCATGCAAAGGATCCATGCTGGAGCAGTTCCAGAAGAACTGCAGCCTGTGGGAAGGACTCACATTGGAGAGGATCATGGAGGACTGTCTCCTGTGAGAGGGACCCCACGCTGGTGCAGGGGAAGAATGTGAGGAGGCAGTGGCAGAAGTAATGCATAACGAACTGACTGCAACCCCCACTCCCCATCCCCCTGCACCATTGCTGGGGAGGACATAGACAAAAATCAGGAACAAAGCTGAGCCCAGGAAGAAGGAAGAGGTGGGGGAAAGGTGTTTTAAGGTTTGTTTCCATTTATGATTATCCTACTCTGATTTGAATAGCAAGAAATTAAATTAAATTTCCCCAAGTTGAGGTTGCTGTGCCTGTAACAGTAACTGGTGAGTGATCTCTCCCTGCCCTGCTCTCAACCCATGAGCCTTTCATTATATTTTCTCTCCCTTGTCCAGTTGAGGAGGGAGAGCGCTAGAGCAGCTTGGTGGGCACCTGGCAGCCAGCCAAGATCAACCCACCACATTTCTGTATTCCTTTTCAGACTCCCCTCAGAATTATGCACCATAAGTCTGTACAGACCTTCATAGTTCAGCTTCTTCAATTGGTTCTCCAGTTTTTCTTTTGTTTTTCTGACAGCTTCAAATTCTTCTTGGTCTTTTCTATAGCCTCTGTCCATCTTTTTAACTTCAGCTTGCTTTTTTTCTAATTCTTCTTGTGCATATTTCAACTTCATTTGAGCCTGTGAGGAGTAAGAAAATACGGTACTGGAAAATGTTCAAAGAGAAGCTTGCAGGTACAGATTTAGAACACTTGCACCAATAAGGTGCTCACATAATTTGTAAATGTTTCCATTGGTTGCAGAAATGCCAGAAAAAGCAGCCTTGGCCTATGAAAGGAAGGGCACGGGCCATTTTGGAATAAAATATAAACCATGTATCTGGACACAATAACTCATATTAGGACATGGATAGAGTCCAAGAAGAAACAAGGTACAATAATGTGGGACACAGCTGTCCTTGTTATTCTTCCCAAGAGTTTTTCCTTAAGTGAAACAAGCAAGGTGCACTTGCAACTTTGAAAATTTAAATTCCACTGTGAGAACTATTCAAGCAGAGGTTTCCCATCTTAAAAGAGCAGGTGCCTGTTTCAGTCACGTGACCAGCATACAGTTAAACTGAGAAGAAAACAGTTTCTTCTCAACTCTCCATTCACAGTCTCAGGCATCTTTATTTTGATTCCATTAAGTTTTACTGCAGAAATCTCTATAGTATGAATGCATATCATGGACAGCAGTCTTTATTTCTTCCTATCCAATACCATCAGTCATTTGAGTACTGTGAGTCCTACTTTATGTTTCAAATGCCAGTTTCTATGTTACAGTTTTTTCCTATTTATCTCTATCTAAGCAAGGGGTTTTCTTTAATGACCTGTTTTATCAAAAAGTCACCTCAATGCATATGCCAACCTGCAAAATATCTTGCATAGACATTCTGAAATTTTTTCACTGACCTTTCCAGAGCATGTCATTTGGTTTTCAGACAATTTTCAAAAGAAGCAGGAAGGCTGGTCTGATACAGACAGAGCTTTTATTCTTACCTGTTTAGCCTCTGTGACTGCTTTGCTGATTTCATTTTTGCAGGTCATCATCTGCCCAGCAATAGTAGCTTCTTCCCCATCATCATTGCTGGACAAGCCAGATGACACAGCATTAAAATGCTGTTGTGCTGCAGCTAAAGCCTTTACATCTTTTTCACTTTCTTCCTGTAAAGCATCTAGTTCTTTCTCAATCTTCTTTACTTCTTTCTCTTTTGACACTAATGCTTTAGAATCCTTCAGCAAAACAAAGAACAAAAACAAAAAAGAAGAGAGAACCTAAGTACTATTAATTTCAAATTCATGTTGTGTAGATGAGGACCTATGAGTAGTTTTATCAACTACATTTCTATGACCCTTTGTCAGATATTGTGATCTTACAATTTGTCTTTGCATTTTTTCAAGTGTGTATTTGCCCCATGAGTGCACTGAAGATCTACAGAAAGATCAAATACAGGAAAAGATGACAACTGCCCAAGAACTAGGAGAAATTACTCTTTCTTACTAATATCTAAGAAGTAAAGTATTATTCAGTGCTCCTCTCACATAAAAAAAAAATCAACTGTCAGAAATGTGCAATGTAGAAATTTCTCCTTTAATTTTAAGAATACCACACGTCTGGAGAGCACCCTATTTTTGAAGCTATAGGGATCTCTCCTGAGCTTAATAGAAAGTTGGTGATCTTAAAGAATAGCACTTTCTTTGTATATGCATCACATTTGTTTCTAACGGGAACATACTACCTATGCCCCAGAAACCAAACAACGCCCATACCATTTGTTTCTGCTTTCCTGATGTAATTCTTGCCAAACACAGGATTTTTCTTATCATGATAGGTAAGAAAAAACAGCTGTCCCCTTCATTCTGAATTAATTTACTGTTTAAAGAAAATGATATGCAACTGTCTTACCTCCTGCACACTTTTTAGCAGTTCTTCATGCTTTTTCTCTTCACTTCTTAAGTTTTGCTTCTTGAGATCGAGGCCACTTAGTGCTCTAGCATAAACCCTCTGAGCTTCTGAAAGTGCTTCTTCAAGTGAATGGAGTGTATCACCAACATCCTACAATCAGAAATAAAAGAAATTTAATTTACCTAAGAAACTGATAGGCTATTTGTAATATTTCACCTTCTGTTCACAGCTGGTGAAGAGATAAATATTGATCAAGCAGGCAGTTAAAACTCCAATGCAAACAGGTCAGAATATCTCTTCCCTCTAAAATTCAGAGTAACATGAAGTCCCACATCATCCCATATCATAGGACACTGTCCCTGTATAAAGCTGCAATTCAGGCACCCAAAGACCCTATGGGCCATCCTGTATCTAAGCAAATTTACTGGCCCCAAAACAGAGGTCAGTACTGATTTTTGCTGAACAAATTTCCTACTTTAAGTGTATTTCTTTTGAGACATCAGCAAAAAGGGAGGAAAAAAAAATATGTCAAAACTTACCATTGGAAGGACAGAGTGGAAACGTGAGAGCAATTGGAAATAAAGAATTTCAGACCAATAAAAACTTTAAATGGACGCCTTTTAAACAACAGCTAAGAATGCCAATGAGCAGCGTATAATCTAAACGACCCACCAGAAGAAGACAAAATGCAAGGATATATTATCTGTAAAAATAATTCCCTTCTCATATAACTCCTTGTACTCAGATAAGCACAACTCTGTTCTCACCTCATCCCTTTTCTTTTCCATCTCTGCTATTTCTTCATTAAGTTGTGTTATCTTCTTTTCATGTTCAGCCATTGATTCCTGAAGCTCCTCCACATTAGCCTGCATTTCCTTTAATGCTTTAGCAGAGGTTACCTTTGTCTCTTCAGCCAGAACAAACTGATAAGCTATACAGAAGTGACTTAAATGTTCTATTTTTCTTATTAGTTTTTGGTATTCTAGATAAGATGATCGGTCCTGAAAAGACATCAATAAAAAAAACCTCTAAAATTTGATGGAAAAATAATAGTAACTAGGACTGTTATAGAAATCTTCTAAGCACATCTACTAACGTCATTATTTGTAGATAAGAGGAAGGATTCTCCATGTTAAGTAATATATTTGGCATTGTACATTGCAAGCCTGCTTAGGAAAATAGTAGATAAAACAACATTTGCACAGTAGAAATATCAATTGACACAAGGTTTTTTTTTTTAAAAACTATCCTTTATTTTTATCTAGTTCTCTTGTTTTCTTCCTTCTCTCTACATTCCCCTCTGGGATATCGTGGACGTCTCGAGTGTCACATTTTCTGTATTTGGATAGAAGATAAAATTTCTCTCTCTTAAAAGATTCTACAGAGCTTGAAAACATGGTATTGTTTTAGCCACCACATACTGTTTCAAGGTAGCTGACAAAACTTTTTTCAGTACTTTAAGGGCCCTACCACTGTTCTAGTTTTTCCATACCTCTTTCAGTTTCTGTAAAGTTGGAGTGATCTCATCATCTAAGACCTGAAACACAAACCAGAATATTTATATTCAGATTTTTAAAACTCTTATACGTTTAAGCATGAATACCTAGTTCCAGGTGCAGAAACGAAGTATTCTACAAGTTAAAAACCACACTACACTAGTTTTTCAGTTATCTTTAACAAATAGAAAAGAAAATACACTTTCCAACATGTAATACCTTTTGAATCTCTTTCAGTTTGCTTTCCTTCTTCTCTATGGTTTTCTGGACAGCTGTTTTCTTGCATTCATACATCCTCGTCCCAGCTGCTTCCTCAATCATAGCTAAAATCTAAAATAAAGCAATGCAACAAAATTGAGATGTTTCTTCTTATAAGTTCAACTCAGAACTGAGTTGGACATTTCATCTGCCTCCAACATTGGGTTTTTTGGTCTCCCTCTCCCCTGCTATTGGTTCTTGTCATTCAAATCAAATCAGTAAAACTTCAGACAAGAAGCTCCCACAACTTTCTTACCTCTGGTGGCTTCATATTTAGAACTTTGGTAATTTGCCCCTGGTGACAGAAAGATAAAACAAGAGTGGTGGTTGTGTACCATGCAACAGCAAAAAAAACAAAACAAAACATCAAACCCAAAAAACCTACACTAATTTTTATATGTTATTTTATAAGCTCAAACATGTTTTGTTTTCTTCTGCCACAAGGATCATCTAGTTTACTCAACTGTTTTGCTCTTGAAAGTTCAAACAAATCACTTCTTCAGGTAGAAAGCTTGAAACGGCCCTTATACCTTATCTTAGGCTCATCCTCCACATTCCCAATTACATCTTAAATATGTGCATACTTTGTTCTAGAGTCTTATTGAGTTGAATGCTGAATAATGTTGAATAAGCTCCCACTAATCAACTGGCTTTTTTTTTTTTTTTTTTTTTTTTTTTGAGATTTAGCTCATATGTAACCAGGGGGAAGCAGAATATGTGCAAAACTGCCCTTCCCCACAAGCTTGGACTCTTCCATTTGAAACAGTAAATTCTGCTCTGTTTTATTATTCCTTGCAAGTATTTCAGGGATTTGCCTAGTCGCTGTGTTGATAAGGGTCTTTTCAATTGTCAGCTCTTCCTTTGTTAATTGTGACTTAAGAAAGCAGGTATATGAACTCCATTTAAAACATCGTCTAACTTGGAATAGGAAAGGAAATCTCTGTCTTTTTAGCACAATAATAAAAGCAACATCTATCTATCTGTTAAAGAGGCAAAATGGAAAATAAAATTGGAATATGTTTTAGGAAAAGCCTACTACATGAGGGCTACGTGAGGTCTTGTGCTAAAAGACATATGTTTTAGGGCCAAACTATGTTGTACCAGAAATCTTAACTACTTCCAGACGTTTGATTTTTACTTGACAAGAAGTTGATTTTCTTTGATTAGAAAATTGAGTTTTCTTCCACTGTCTATCCTGCTTCCAGTTTAGTGCAACTTCTATTCTTTTTGGGTTTTATAAAGATGCCCACAGTACCTGCATGATGAGGAAGTGAGGGTTATTGACATTGAGTCCAACGGAACAGAAGAGATCCTGCACACGAGTGTTGCTAGCATTCACACCATTGAGAAGATACTTATTTCTACCTCCAATGACAATCTGGAAAAGGAAAAGAAACAGAAGAAACTTTTAAAGTGTTTTAAAAATGACCTGACATTATAAGAATATAAGCTGTAATAAAGAACAAAGAAATCTGAGAAAATCTCACATAATATATCTTTGCATATACATACATGTGCATACTAAACAGAACATCAAAACAGATCATGTTAGACTGAAGAGACATTTAAATTATGTAAGTAAAACATAAGAAAGATGAGGCATTGAGGGCAATATTGAGAAGAAAATTTCCAAACTCCACAAGTTTTCACTTAAAAACCAAACAAACAAACCACCAAAAAAACCCCAACTTGGGAGATCTCTTCATCAGAAAGATAAAGGTTCCTTTGTTTCTGAAGACCAAATTTAACATATAGTCCAGATATTAAGAGGAAAATATGAAAGCAGAAGAAAAAGCCACAAAACAGAAGATTATAACTTTTAGGAACATTATTTCATTATTATTATTATTATTAAGTTTCTGTGCAAGTCCATAGAAAAAATTACTGATATAATACATTTAACAATATTAAACTAATTTCTCAAGTAATTCAAATTTTTTTTAAAAGCTAGTACACTTGATATACTGCTACAGCTTGTGTTACTTACTAATTACACTGCAGAAGCATTGCTTCAGTTGTAAAAACTCAAGAACTTTTTCTTTTTTCTTGAAAAGTCACTCTGTTAGTAAAACATGGTAAGAGCATGGTAAAAATGTATATAAGTTACTGAGCAACACAAACATTAAAGACTCACCTGCCTAGTGATGGTGATCTCATCGTTAGCTTCAAATCCCAGTGGACTTTGTTTCTTGTCAGAATTATCAAAGGTAATAGACACAGTTGCTTTAGTAATTCCAGCTTGCCCATTTTTATAAACTAGGTCTTGCAAGTTGGAAGCTCGCACCTAAATCATGGAACAGATAAATAAATTTTTGAAAGAAACTCATTACACAGCTTCAGTGCACTACTGTAGGTTTTTGAGAAATGAATTTTAAAAATGCAGATCTAGCTGTAGATTTAAGAGTTCATGTGAGAAACTGACATATAGGACCTTCAAGGTGCTAGTGTTGGAAAAACCACAGGCAGAGCGTGCCCATCTAGTTTTAGTGAGACAGCTAATTGTTTCTGCCTGAGATTCCTAACAAAAACTTAATAGATGCTTAAAAATAAAAAAAGTCATAAGACAGATGACTAGTTCAGTCACCAGTATGTTTACTTAAAGAGCACTTATTATTCATAATGCAGTTCACAGGAAAATTAATTACAAAGTGTTCCCTGGAGGTCTGCTGGATTTGTCAACAATTATGGGGCAGGGGGGGTGTGAAAAAATCAGCTGAAGACAGAGATTCAAATTTATCTCAGAGCACACTTTTTTTTTTTAATAAATCAGATATATCACCTTTTAAATAGCAGGCACTGCATGAAAACCAACTTTTTTTTTTTTCTGGTGGCCAAATTTGAAGACCAATCCAGACATGAAAAAGTTTATTACAAATAAACAAGTTAGTGCCCTTAACTGCAAAAGATCTTCAGCCCGAGGCTGATATTTTTTAAATGGGTATTTTTAGTCTAATGTTCTAAACTGCATACTTTAAACTACTGCAGTATATTGATGAAATTATAATTCAATCTTAATGGAAGAATGAGCAGGAATTTCAGGAATGAGACACCTAGCTTTATGTAATGGAAAATGCAAATAAAGAAACCTTTTTTAAAAAAATTTTTGAAACAGAAGCACCATTTCAGGTCTTCCATTACAGATTACTCAAGAGACCAATACGAAACATTGCTGACAGAAGGAAGACCTTCCTTAAATGCACCCTCTCCCCTTACCTGTGTCAGATTGGTGATTCCCAACAGGAAACAGATTGAGTCCAAGATATTGGACTTGCCACTACCATTCAAGCCAGTAATGGCATTGAATAATGGGTCAAAGTCATGAATTTCTGTTCTCTGAGCGTAGGATTTAAATCCTTCAAGAACAATTGACTTGACGTACATCTTCTCTATGTTCCTAAGGGACTCAGCAAAGTATTCCTCTAACAAGTATGAAGAAAGGTATCTGGATTATAGTCCTACGTATTTCAAAGAAAAAAAGAAAAAAGAAGCAGCAAACAAATCATACTGCACGCCAATAAACAGCGAAATGTGTGAGAAAATGGAAAGAGCACACGTCTTTTACAACAATGAGTGTGAATTTATAAACGGAACATTCCAAGTAGTCCCCAGATCCAGGAAGCCTCCCAACAATAGCTTGTACTTCAACATTTTAAAGTGACGTGACTTTACACAACGTTCATCACGACATCTGTATAAAGACTGTGGCATAACCCTGTTTTCTCACAAAGCTGGCTATTAGCCACCAGCTGGGGAAGAGAGGGGGAAAGAAGGGGGAAAGGGGGAAAGAAGGGGGAAA